GCCCCCCACGCCGCAGGCCTCAAGCCGCAGCCTAGGCACGACGGACGGCACGGCGGCGGAGGCGGAGACGGAGGCGGAGAGGCAGCCCGGCGGGGGCGGCAGGGCGTCGCCCGCTTCGGCGTCCCGCGGCTCCTCCTGCCGCTGCTGCGGAGGTGGCGGCAGGGCGTCCGTCTCCGCCGTGGCGGCGGCGGTTCTGCCGGCGGGCATCGACTCCGTCGGCGGGGCAGTCGTGCTGCTGCGCGCCTTTGGCGACGAGCAGGACGTCGCGGCACTCGAACTGCGCCGCTCCGCCTCGTGCGCGACGTCCGTCAGCAGGGCGTCGATCGCCGCCAGCTCCTCCCGCGCCATCCGCACGTACTCCGCGTGCTCCTCCATCTCCCGCAGGAGCGCGGCCGTCTCGGCAGCCGCGGCGGCGCCCCGCGCCCCACCCGCCTCGACGCCTGGCGCAGCTGCCAAAGCAGCCTCGCCGGCCCGCAACATGGCCGTAATCCAGCGGTGCAGCGGCCCCAGCGTCGGGTGCACGCGCACGACGCGATCGAACGTCCACGTTGCGTCAAAGTCACGCCGCCGCACCGCCGCAACCTCGGCGGCCGTCACGGCGGACGGATCGCGCCGCACGAGCCGCCGCTGCAGCTCCTTCATGCTGCGGCAGTTGTCCCACGACATGTACAGCCGCTCGCCGAGTAAACAAACGGCGGCCTGGACAACCTCCGCGACGGCAAGCGGCGGGTGGCGCAGAGTGCACAGGTCCTCCCACAAACGCGCAGGCACCGCCCACAGTGCGGCCCGCGCCGCCGTGAGCGCCTCCATTGCGTCCCTTACCTCTTGCTGCTGCTGCCGCTGCTGTGCGGCCCTTGCGGCGGCGTCGTCCTCGGCTGCACTGTGAACCCACGCCTGTATCTCGGCGATGCGAGCGAGGGAAGTCTCCACGTCACTGCGCAGCTGCTCACTTCGTCGGCGCAGCTCCTCCACGTCGTCAAGCGAAAGGGAGGACTCCCGCTGGCCCCTGCCCTTGTTGTGGTTGCTACTGTTTTTGGCGCCGCGTGTGTCTGCAAGCGCGGACGCCTCTTTTGTAGGCCCGCCAGTGTGCGGCACGTGCATCACTGCACGATGCACACACACACACGCACACACACGGACAGACGCACACGCTAACCCTACCCCCGCTAACCCAAAACTCTGCCGCATGCGTTGTGCGGCGTTTGTGGAGGAGGCAGAAGTAGAAGCAGAAGCAGAAGCAGAAACAGAAACAGAAGCAGCGTGGGGCGGGTGTGCCACGCGAAGGAACAAGGCAAGCCGCGCGCGAGCCGTCACGGTAGGCGGCCAACACGCAGTTGGCTCAGGCCCGTGCAGGGAGGCGCGGTAACGATGGAAAGGTGCGGGAAAACGCGTGGGGGAGGCGGCGGCGGAGGGCAGCGGCACGCATATACCACAAAACAAAACGCGAGAAAAAAAAACGCGGCCCCGCAGCTGCATCGGCGAGAAGAATGCCGGGAACCGCGAAATGAGCGAAAGCGGCGTCCCCGCCGGAGAATCCCGGTCGTGCCCGCAGACACCTCTAGGCGTGTGTACAGAGACGTGCGTAGGTGGCAGTACGCAGAAGTCTGCGTGCAGAAACACAGAGGGAGAACATTGGCCGCGGCTTCGCGCCACCCACAGAGAGACAGACCGAGAACGAGCGAGCGAGAAGACGAAAGAATACAATAGAAAGCTTTAAAACAAAACAACAGGCATACAAGAAAAAAAAAAAGACGCGTGTGCTGCGTGTGTAGGAAACAAATGAAGTGAACCACAACGACGACGCTAACGCTGACGGCCACCAATAACAGAGGGGAAGAAAAGCACGGCAAGACAAGGGAAGGCGGAGGCGCGGGAGCGGCCGCTGCAGTCGCTACGCCGCCACAGCCGCGCCGAGCCGCGCCCGCACCTCCTCGAGGACCTTCTCCGTCGCCTTTGCCTCCCGCGACTGCCGCTCGGACTCGTCCCTGAGCCGTCTCACAACCTCCTGCAGCTGCAGCGCACGACGCTCGTCGGCGGACTTGGACTGCGACCCCCGCCGCCCCTCCTCCTGGCACGCCGCCTGGAGCTTCTCCTGCAGCTTTCGCTCCTCCGCCTCCTGCGCGCGCAGATGGACGCGAAGCGTCTCCAGCTGACGTTCATTCTCCCGCAGTGCGGCGTGAGTGGACTCCTTCTCCCCCTCCGCCTCGCACTGCCGGTCCCACAGCGCCGTGAGCTCCCGCTGCTTGTCCGCCAACTTCTGCCGGGTCGCCTCGTGCGCGTGCAGCTCGGCGTTCAGCTGCTCGGCGAAGTTCTCCGCGTCCCGGCGCTGCCGCTGCAGCTCATCGCTCAGCTGCTGAATACGCGTCTGCAGCTCGCCCGCCGCGGCGTTTCCCTCCCCTGTCGCGCGCAGCTGCAATGGCGGCACCGGCTGTCGCGTGCCCTGCCGGAGGGCCTCCTCAAGTTCCGCCTCCAGTTCCTCAATCTGCCGCTGCGCCGCTGCCAGCTGCGCCTCGGGCGTGCTCGCCTTGTCCATCTGCAGCGCCGAGGAGGTGTAGTAGTTCGGCGCGTTCGCGGTGCGGAAGTTGTCAAGCTCCTCCTTCGCATAGCGCAACTCCTCCTGCACGGCCCGGAGGTCGTCCTCCAGCAGCTGCACCTGCGCCGCCGTGGGGTTCTCGTGCAACGCCCGCCTGAGACGGTTTTCGAGATCCTCAACCTTCACGGCGGGGTCCTCCGCCGCCTCATCCTCGCGGGGGCCCACGGCGGAGCCGGCCGTGGGACTGAGAGCGCGAAGCTGCGGCGTGCGGCGACGCAGGCTCCGCGGCGTCGGGTACGACGGGGAGCTCGTGGACGACGGCCGCGAGGGGTGCAGCGGCACCCCGGCCTCCGTGATCGCCTGGTTGAGCTTCTCCAGCTCCCGCTGCCGTTCCTCCAGCTCCCGCTGCGTCTCGTGCCGGCCGCTCTCCAGCTCCCGCAGCCGCTGCAGCGTGCGGCCGTGCTCGCCGCGGAGCCCCTCCAACGCGGCCTGCAACTTGCGGTGGGCGGCGTCGGCGCGCTGCTGCTCCTTCCAGCCGGTGGCGCGGCCCTTCAGTGCGCCCTTCAGCTCCTGCACCTGCTCCGCCGTCAGGCGGGTGACCAGACTCTCCGGCTTGCCGTAGTTGCAGAGAACGGCGGCGTGCAGCGTCACGACGGAGTCCTCCGCGAAGGACCAGATGGCGCCGGTGCCGTCCACGTCGTCCACGTCCTCCGCAGTGCGGCTGTCCGCCGCGTCGCCTTCGCCTTCCGCCGCCGCCGCCGCCGCCGCCCCGTCGCGGGGGGACTGCGCCGCCTGCCCGGCCTCCACGCTGGCCGGCGTCGGTCGACCCTCCAGCCTCGCGCGCAGTCGCTCCTCCTCCGCGGCGTACCTTAGCACCGCCCGCTGCAGCGCCGCAAGCTGGTCCTCCAGGCCGGTGATTTCTACCCACTCGTTCAGGTGCTGCACGTCGTAGGCAGCGAGGTTTTCTGCGGCGCTCGACGTCTCCAGCTGCGCCACCACCCACTGCTGCAGATATCCCAGCGCCTGGCTGCCGCTCATGGCGTCGCCGTAGGTGAAGCGGGGGTTGGACAGAAACTGCCGCTGGATGCTCGCCTTGGTTGCCGCGCTCAGCTTGGCGGGGTCAAACTGCGCCACCGTGCGCACAAACTCCGGGCTACGGATGACGCCCTGAATCTGCCCCCACGACACACACCGCTCGCCGATAACTGTGAGCACCGCCTTCATGACGAGCACGACAATGTATGGGGGTTTGGGGTAGCAGCGGATCTCGCGCCAGTCACTTGCCTCCACCTCGTTGATGCGGGCACGCACGTCCGCGAGCACCTGCTCCGCCGCGTCCGCCGCCGCCTCCATCCGCCGCCGCGAAAACGCATACGTCACCCGCCTTGCCGCGAGCGTCTTTTGTATTGCCTCAATCTCCTCGTTCACGCGTGCGCGCAGGTGCTGCAGCTCCTCGAGGCGCGTCACCGCCCGCTCCCGCTCGTCCGGTGACACCACGGCGTCAGCCGGCGGCGGCTGATAGTGCGACAGTGCGCCGTCGTGGCGCCAGCGCAGCAGCTGCACGAGACGAGGCGCCGGAAGGGCGGCGACCGTCGCCAGCCCCCACTGCCACGCGTGATGCTCGTCTACGTACTCAAACGCCACAAGATCGTTCACGGAAACCCGCACGTGGGGGGGGCCGCCACGCACATTCTCGGGCGCCGGCGGAGCCGCCTTGGAGCCCCTCCGCGCGGCCGCGGCAGCCGGAGGCGCAGTCGCAGGCGCAGGCGCAGGGCAGGCGGTGGGGCAGCCGGAGACGGAGACACCGCCGCCTTCTCGGTCCGCTTCATCGCCGCGGCTTCCCCTCGCCGCATCCCTCGCTCTCTTTACCCCCCGCTCGCCCGGCAGGAATGCGCGCCGAGTAGACTTCCTCCGCCTCGCCCCACCGCTGTTTCCCCTCCAACCGCAACTTCCCTAACACCCGCCCCACCGCACACCGACGATGCCGCAGGCAAAATTTTTTTTAAAAAAGCCACTCGCAGGGGCAACGCCGTAGGAGCGCTCTAATGCCTTGCTGTGCTCCACTCTACCTGTTTTTTTTGTTTGTTTGTTTGTTTGTTTGCCTCCCCGCGGCGTGGCGGGGTCGTGTGTGGCTGCGCTTCGCTGCTGCGTGGGGGGAGACGGGGGAGTTGAAAGGCGGGCAGAGGCGCAACGGCGGCGGCACACCGCGCACCGCCCACGCAAGCAGGCAGGAGCGGCGGCACACACAACAAAACAAAACAACAACAAACGAACAAAAGTGCACACACAAAAATGCACGCGTCAAATATTTCACTTCTCTTACTTTTTTCCTTTTGCCTCTTTTTCTTCTTCTTCTTTTTTCCAGTTCCGCCTGCATGCGAGGAGCGTGGGTGCGGCATGCGGGAGGGAGAGAGAAGGAGAGAGAGAGGAGGGGGGATGGTAAGGTAAAAAAAAAAAAAACAGAGTCCCCCGCCAGTCGCTCCCGCGGGTCAAGCGGGAGCGGCGCCTGCGGCGGCCCCCCACAGCACGGGCGCGTCGCAGTCCAAAATATGTCTTCCGCAGCGACTACCGCCTGCACAACGCGAAGCACACGGAAGAAGTCAAAAGGACAGAAACGGTCCACGCAGGCCGACACACACACACACACAGCCAGCCAGCCAGCCAGCCGGTGGCAGCTTGAGAAACAGACGAAGAAACAAGTCGCGTGCGTAGCTGGTAAATGTCATACCCCGCGCCTTTCGTTGCGAACCGGGGCGGCTCCGTTGCGCCTCCTCCTCCCGCCCGCCCTGTCACCGCGAGGCGGGTTCGAGGAGGGCCGCCGCAACGTATTCCACGTAGAGAAAAGTGCCGGGCAGCCCCACGCTGCATCCCGCACCCGCAGAGGGCTGCTGACGAAAAAAAAAAAAATCAAGTCAAAAAAAAAACATTTTCCCACGGCGTAGAGGAAAGTGAGACGACGGCAGCGGCGGGGGTGGGCAGGTGCTCTTCAGCCGCGCGCTTTTCCCCGCCCCTCCGCTCACGGCTGCTGCTCTGTGGGGACGATTGCGTGAGTGCCCCCCAAACAAACAAAATAAAGGACAAACCGAAACAAGACAAAAGAAAAGTTGGAATCGTGGAAATTGGCCGTGCGCAAATACCTATTGAAAGTACAAATCTTAGCAACAAACACGTAGTGATCGTTAGTTGCCTCCTACTTCTTCGCATTAATCCTGTATTTTTGCCTTTTTTTTTTCACTTTCTCTTTTTCTTTTTCTTTCCCCCCCCCCACCCTCTCTGCCTCCCTCTTACTTTCTCTGGGTGGAATTAGTCCCTCCTACTACACTTGCGTGCGAAGATGCACGCCGCCGGCGGCCCTCAGCGTGTGGGTGCGTGTGTGGCTGCCATGAATTCCTGCAGGGCGGTCTCGCCAAACGACCCCACCATCTGGGCGAAACGCGAACCCGCGGAGCGCACGAGCTCGTGCGGCGACCCCGCCTCCACCACGCGGCCCTCCTCCATCAGCAGAATCATGTCGTACGTGGCGACGGTGTGCAGGCGGTGGGCGATTGTAATGACGGTGTGCGCCGCAAAGGCGTGGGTGACGGCGTGCTGAATTTGCTTGTCCAGCGCGGGGTCGACGTTGGCGGTGGCCTCGTCCATCAGAATGAAGGCGCAGCCGCGCCGCAGCAGCGCCCGCGCCATGCAGAGCAGCTGCCGCTGGCCCACGCTGAAGTTTGAGCCGCCCTCCTCCACTGGGCACAGCAGCGGATCCGTCTCGGTCGCGAGCCGCTCCTCCATCCCGACCAGCCGCACGGCCTCGCGCACCTGCGCGTCGGTGCAGCGGTTGAGCGGGTCGAGGTTGTCCCGCACGTTGCCGTTGAAGAGGAGCGGGTCCTGCGGGATCATCGAGAAGAGCTGCCGCAGCTCACGCAGGCGGTAGGCGCGAATCGGGCGTCCCGAGACCACAATCTGCCCACCCGCAATCTCCACCATGCGGAGCAGCGTGAGCAGCAGCGAGGACTTGCCGCTGCCGGTGCGGCCGATGACGCCGACCTTCTGCCCGGCGGCGATCGTGAAGCTCACGCCGCGCAGCACCGGTGGCAGTCCCGCACGGTACCGCATCGTCACCCCACGGAACTCCAAGGAGCCCGCCGGCGCGCGTCTGTCGCCGTCCTCCTCGTCGCCGTCCGCTGCGGGGGAGTAGAGCGGCCCCGGCGCGGCACCCTCCGCACTGTCCTCAGGCGCCATCGTCACCGCCACCGTTGCGGCGTCGTCCTTGTCGTCGGAGGGCGTCACAGCCGGGGCCGCGGGGGCGCCTTCCCGCCCCTGCGTCTCCAGCTGCAGGATGGCCGCATCGATGTCCTCGAGGAGGTCCTCGTGCTCAATGTCGGAGGTGTAGTGCAGCACGCGCTCGACGCAGTTCATGTCCGCCTCCAAGGAGGCCGCCTGATTCACCACGTACTTCAGCTGCGTGCTGATGTTCACCGCCATTGTGAGACTCAGCGAGATCAGCCCGACGTCGACGCGACCAAACTGCAGCATCACAAGCAGCACCCCCACCAGCGCCACGGACGTCAAGACAACGTTGCTGAGGAACTCAATGCGCACGGCGAGCCAGCAGTCGCAGACCGTCTGCATGTAGGAGCAGGCGAAGACGGTGTCAAGGCGCTGCAGCGCCGTCGCCAGGAAGGCGGTGGTTCTGTCGTACGCGGCGATGGTCCAGCGGCCGGAGAGCATCTCGCCAAGCACGGAGAAGACGGGTGAGTTGGAGCGGTTGGCGATGCGCCGCATCTCGCGATTGGCGCTGTTGTAGAAGACCATCAGCCTGTAGTACACCAGCAGGCAGGGGACAATCGCGACGAGCACAAAGTACTGCGAGATCGCCATCACGGCGAGCGCGGAGGTCACCGACAGGATGCACTGAAGGAAAAAAATGAGGCTCCCCTGCAGGTCCGAGTCAATGCTGCCCATGTCCTTCGAGAAGCGGTTCAGCACCCGGCCCAGGGGCGTCGTGTCGAAGAAGGACATGGGCGCCACCGCGACGGACCGCAGCAGCCGCGCGTGCAGGCGCCAGGAGCCGCGGCGCAGGACGGCGTAGGCGGAGGTGTTGCGCAGCGGGGAAGTCAACGCGCTGGCGGCGACGAGGCCCACGTACACCAGCAGGTACGTCCGCGACGCCAGCTCGAACCGCCTCACCGACCAGAACGAGAGCCACAGCGAGGGCGACACAAGCACAAACTCCGTCAGGAAGAAAAGGAGGAGGATCAGCATGCAGGCGGTGGCCCCGCCGCAGGCCTCCGCGTAGCGCACGTACGACGCCCACGACACCGCCCCCACCGCCTTCTCCTCGTCGGTCATGAGTTTCCCCCCCGCACCGGCGCCGGTGCCCCCCTTCGCCTCCTTCGCCGGCTCCTGCTTCCGCTGCTGCTCCTCCTCCTCCTCCTCCTCCTCGTCGTCGCCGCCACCGTCGTCGAAGAGGAGGCCGCCGGCCCCAACCGTCTCGTTGCTGTCGCTGTCGTTGGTGCCTGTGCCCGCGGTCTCGCCCTTCGGTTCCTGCGAAGCTTCCACCGTCTCGCCGGCCTCAACCGCCGCCTGCGGCGCGACGGGACCAGCCGCAGCAGCGAAGCGCTTGTACTCCTCGTACGATCCCGCGAAGGCGACGGTCCCGCCCCCCTGCATCACAACGATGTAGTCTGCGTGGTGCAGCTGGTGCAGTTGGTGGGTGACGAGCAGCCGCGTCTTTGACCGCAGCTCACCCAGGATGCACTCATGCATCACCCGCTCCCCAACGTGGGCGTCCAGCGCGGAGAGGGGGTCGTCGAGGAGGTACAACTCCCGCCCGGCGGCGTACACCGCACGGGCGAGGCTGACGCGGGCCTTTTGCCCGCCGCTCAGGTTGACGCCCTTCTCGCCAATCTCCGTCTCCACCCCGTCCGCGAGAAGCCTGAGGTCCGACTCCAGCTGGGTGCAGCGCAGCGTCCGCCGAAAGCGGGCCTCGTCCATGTCGCTAAAGAAGAGAATGTTATCCTTTACTGTGGCGTTCATGATCCAGGCCTGCTGCGGCACGTAGGCGATGCTCGGCACCGCGCGGACACGGCCGGCGGTCACCGCGTGGCTGCCGAGCAGCGCGTCAACCAGCGTCGACTTGCCGCTGCCGGTGGCGCCAATCACGCATGTGAGTTTCCCCTTCGGAATGCGCAGGGTGACGTCGTGCAGGAGGATCTTTGCCTGCAGCTCATGATACTCGACGGAGCCCGTGGCGGCCGCGGCGTCCACCCCCTTCCGTGCCGCGGCGCGCAGCTCCTCCGCGTTCGGCGGGAGTTTACGCGGCACGTAGGTGGAGATGGTGGCGTGCGTGAACTCCGCCGCGGCCGCCGCCATCGCGGGTTCCTGCAGCAGTGCGTCGGCTGCATCCTGCGGCTGCGCCTGGCGCTCGGCCGCGTGCTGCCGCAGCGTTTCCAGCATCCCCTCATCGGCGTCCTCGCACTCAATGAACTTCGTGATGCGGCGCATCGAGACGCTGAAGCGGGCCACGCTGGAGAAGGCGAACGAAATCATGACGAACGGCGTCTGCATGATGCCCAGCAGCGCGAGCGTGGGGAAGACGATGGCGGGGGTCAGCTCGTTGCCGGTCCCGCCGTAGAGCAGAAAGACCACCGCCACGACGAGGGCCGGGATCGCGTTGGTGACGAACGCGATGGCGACGTACAGCAGCTGCGAGGCCCGCAGTGCGGCGAGCTCCGCCCTGCGTTTCTCCTCGATGCGCCGAATGAAGGCGGGCTCCCACGACATGAACTTCGCCACCCGCACGCCGGAGAAAAACTCGTTCGTCGCCTTCAGCCGGGCGTCCGTCGCCCGTGAGAGTCGGGCGTACACGGCGTAGTAGCGGCGCATGAGCAGCGCCTGCAGCGGCAGGAAGAGAAGGAGGACGCCAAAGCCGGCAAAGGCGCACCAGCCGACGAAGCGGTACAAGAGCACAAGGGAGACGATGAGCTGCAGCGGGGCACCGAAGAGGATGGGCAGCATCATTGGAAAGTTCCGCGCGCTGTTAATGTCGTTGCTCACCATGTTCACAATGCGGCCCACGCTCATCTCCGGGTGCGACAGCGCCTTGCGTGAGATGGTCCCACACTTCTCAAAGAGCACCCCCTGCAGCGCGTTCTGAAAGATGTAGCCGCTGCGCCAGCCGAGCTGTGACAGCTTGCTGCCCGACGCACTCTGCACGAGCGTGAGCAGCGAAAAGGCCAGGACGAGCAGCACCCCGTCACGCCAGCTCGGCTGCGGCAGCTCAAGGTACTGAATGTAGCGCTGAAGCACCACCGGCACGGTGAGCTGGCAGGCGTCACGCAGTAGACGAAAGGGAATGAGCAGGTAAACTTGGTAGCCCAGCGCACTGAAGAGGGCACTTGCGACGGACATGGGCTTCGGTCGCTGCTGCGTGGTGGCCGGCATACCGCCCTGCCGCTGTCTTTCCTTCGGCAGCGGGCAGGTGATGACAATGTCCTCCACGCGCTCGCAGGTGGCGGTGGCGTCCCCGGCGGCGGTGTGAAACAGGTGCTCTCCCTCCACAACCCCGTTCGTGAAGGGCGTGCGTGCGGCATCCTTCGCCTCCTCCTTCAGGCGATGCGCCGGCGGCACCCGCCACTCCACACCGGCGTACAGCTGCCGCGGCGTCCGCTTCTGCTGCGCGTACCCCACCCAGCGAAGCTCCCCGGCGCTGCTGCGGTCCCGGCGGTGGTGCACCGTGGCCCCAATGTACGCGTCCCACACGTGGCGCCCGAGATGCTGCTGCTGCAGCTTCCGCGACAGGAGCAGGCCGGCGTTGTACGCACGCGACATCAGCGTCGGCCGGGGCATGTCCGCCTCAGTCAGCTCCTCCCGTGCGGCGCGGAACATGAGGTCCCCTATCCAGGTGTAGTACATCTGCCCACAGAGCCAGCTGGCGCCGTCCTCGGGCTGCAACTTGTACGGTGGCTCCGGCCCCCACAAATCATTCAGCCGCTGCCGCCGGTGATGCTGCCGCGTATTCAGCTCCGCCTCGCAATTCTCCAGACTCCGCATCGCCTCCGCCGCCATTTCTTCTAACAGGCACCGCTGGTCACTCTGCCCGTCATCCGCCGCGAGCAGCGGCACCCGCCCCTCGGCATCAGGCTCGCGACACATTTTGCCGTGGTTCACTCCCGCCCCCTCCCTTTGCTGCTACTGTCACCCAGCACCCGCGCCTCCTTCGTGCCTGTCCTCCGGCAGCCCAAGCAGGGCGTGTGCTTATGAATATGTATAAATATATGTACACCCACTGTATGTGTGTGTGTATGTGTGTGTGTGTGCTTGGGTGTGTGCAAGCTTGTATAGTTATTACTACGGAGGCGGCCGCTTTGTGTGCGTGGGTGTGTTTGCGCTTCTCGCCCTGAGCCCCCTCCCCCGCTTATTATTACCGTTTACCAGTTGTCCTCGTCGCCGTCGCCGTCGCCGTTGCCGTTGATGCTGTTGCCGCGCGTCCTCGCCGCGTGTGTGGCTGTGCTGGTCGGGGCGGAGGCGCGAATATGCAAGAAAACAAACAAACAAAAAAAAAGAACTACACAAAACAACAAACAAACAAAAAACAGGAAAAAGAAAAAAAAAGGTCTGCGGGGCAACCCGTAGGCCTCCGCTTTCCCTCCACGACGGCGTGTGCGTGTGCGAAGAGAAGAGAGGCGCAGGCACACGCACGGTGGGCGGGAATGTGCCGGCGGGCGCAGACAACACACACGCACGCACAGAAATAAACATATAAAAAAAAAAGAGAGAATCAACGGCGGAGCGCGCGGTTCGCCGCAGCGCCGCCAAACGCCTCACACGCGCGTCGAGGCGACACACACAAGGCACCGCAGGCAGAAAACGCCACAGACAGAGAGAGAAACAAAAACAAAAAACAACAACAACACAAAAAAACACAAATTGTCAGACGGAACAAAAGCACTAGAGAAATCAAAAAACAAAACTACAAACTAAAACTGACTAGAGAAAGTAGAGGAAAAAGCAAAGCTAGACGGCGCCACTAGAAACGAGTATAAAGAACATACAGGC